AATAATAATAATAATCAGCATCACCATCATAATCAGAATCACAATCATCATAACCATCATCATCATCACCATCACCACAACCATCATCATCAGAATCAGCATCATCAGCATCATCATCAGCATCATCATCATCATCATCATCATCATCATCATCATCATCATCATCATCATCATCATCATCGTCATCATCATCATCATCATCGTGATCATCATCGTCATCAGCATCATCATCATCATCATCATCGTCATCATCATCATCATCATAATCGTCATCATCATCCTCATCCTCATCCTCATCATCATCATCATCATCATCATCATCATCATCATCATCATTATCGTCGTCATCATCATCATTATCATTATCATCATCAGCATCATGATCAGCATCAGCATTAGCATCACCATCACCATCACCATCATCATCAGCAGCATCAGCAGCATCAGCAGCATCAGCATCATCATCATCGTCAGCATCGTCAGCATCGTCAGCATCATCAGCATCATCATCAGCATCATCATCAGCATCATCATCAGCAGCAGCATCGCTATCATCAGAATCAGCATCGCATCAGCATCAGCATCATCATCAGCAGCATCATCACGATCAGCATCGTCATCATTCTGAGTATCATCATCAGCATCATCATCATTATCATCCCCCAAGCGTTCCATCAAGAGCTTCCACGTCGGGGAACACGTAGTACAAAGGCGCGGAAAGATGCCGGCCAAACGCTTGGTCACATATACGTTTCCAATGAGCAGGGGGCGGCGGTGGTTCGCTGGGGGCGTCTTCGACCACCTTGCTGAAATACTGACTGATTGATAATCCCCTCTTGTTCGCTGAAGGGGACGTCTCCATCATGCGAGCTGTTGGCCGCGCGCTTGGCTGTCTCTTAGTGCATTTGTCTGTCTCCGTGTTTTCTACATCATGCCGTCCAAGACAGCCCTGGGGAGCCCCTCTCCAGATTCCCCCCCGTGGCTTCCCCAGCAGCTGGAGGAACGCGCAGTACACAGTGCCGCACTTTCGCTTGACATTTCACCACGCAGGCTTTTCCAAAAGGCCGTGAGTCGCTGTAGGTGTCTCCGAAAAACGTACTGACGCATGCTCGTGACTTTAGTAGAATAGCGTGACCGGAAACCCCTCACTCCGAACATGGACGTGGGAGTTTTGGGGCAGTGAGCGTTGGGATGTTGCTCCTCCCACAGGTCGAGAACCAGGATGGCTAGCATATGACAGCGGCACGCGGGCGGGGGGCGAGGAGGGAGGGGAAACGAGAACAGGAGGGGGAGGGGGAGGAGGGCAGGGAGGAAGGGGACGCGGGCGGCCCTGACCCCCGACGGCCTGATCTGTTCACGGCGTCAGACCCGGCGAGGTCTCGCCACAGTCCTCGGAACGGCTTCTCATCCCGAGCCTCTCTGGACGGCCTCGGGGGCCCCGCGAGGGCCACCGGAGGCCGAGCATCAAAACAGCAGAGCCGCCTTGACTTCCCCACGACGCGAAGGCTGGGGACAACGAGGACTGGGGAACTGGTGACCCGCGGGGTCTGGAGGCCGCGGGCCCGGCAGGGCCGACCGAAGGGCGAAGCGGGCGAGGACGACGGCGAGGACGACGAGGGAGGGTACGAGGGCGGCGAGGGCGGCGAGGAGGGCGACGAGAGCGGCGAGGGCGGCGAGGGCGGAGAGGGAAAAGGCGGCGAGGAGGAGCGAGTGGCCCCCGTCCTGGGCGGAGGCGCCCTCCTGCTTGAACAGGTGGCGCGGCGCCCGCAGGTTGGACAGAAAGAACTGCCCGTACCTCGCGCGCACGCCACACGCCCAGATGTCCGACGGCATGCTTTGGTGAACTGGCGCGTTTGCCGTGGACTTCGGCCTCGGAGGCCGATTCGGGCCCGGGGACCGTAAAGACCGGACCTGGGACGAAGAACGACCCCCCGGGAAGCGGTCGGGACCCCTGGGGCCGCGCATGGAAGAAATCGGATCCGCGGATGTCAGGGCACGAGGAAGGCCGCCCCCATCACGTCTGCTCTATCTCTCGCGCCCTCGCGCCCCCCGTGTCGCGTTGCCGCCCGTTCTTCCGCGCTTTTGCCGGCTTCCCTGCATCCTTTTCCATAGTAGCCGCCACCGTGCACTTGCGGCACGAAGTGGCATGACCTCAGACCCTGTGCTTATACCCCCTGATCCTCAGTCCTCACTCCTGGAAAATATGTACGCGGTTCCGATCCGAACTTTCCCAGTTCGTCGCGTCGGATTACCGGAGCACCGCTCCGCTAATTAGAAGCATGCGCGCCGACACCTGGAGTGCTCCGCGTCGGCTTAGCGGAGCGCCGCTCCGCTATTTGGCCTCAAAGCATGCGCGCTGATTCTTAAAGCGCATCGCGTCGGATTAGCGGAGCGCCGCTCCGCTAAATGGCCTCAGAGCATGCGGTTCGCGGAACGCTCCGTGTCGGATTAGCGGAGCGCCACTCCGCTATTTGGCCTCACAGAATGCGCGCCGATTCGCGAGGTGCTCTGCGTCGGCTTAGCGGAACGCCACTCCGCTGATTGGCCGCAGTATGCGATTCACGGAGTGCTCCGCGTCGGACTAGCGGAGCGCCGCTCCGCTAACTGGCCGCAAACATGCGCGCCGAGCTGACGATTCCCTGAGTTCTCCGCGTCGGATTCGAAGGACGCCGCTGCGTCAATGGGCCTCAAAGCATGCATTTCGACATTGCTGGCGTCGCACCCGCCTCCAAATAATCCCCCGAGAGGTCCCCCACGATATCCATATGAACATCCACGAGCTCTTGCCCGCAATAAGTGCACAAGAGGCCCCCAAGAGGACCAAGAGACGCCCCAAAAGGCCTCAAAAAGGTAGTACGGTATATGTACGATATAGTGCGACATTACACTTATATACAATATATCATGACACCGAGTGAAATAATGTAGAATTTAATACGATAAGATATACTGTTATAAACAAGAAGACAATGTGATAGAATGGAACAGTTTACAATATAATACGATGAATTACAATGCGATACCATATTGAATATTAGATTGGACAATGGTACATGTACCATTATAAAATGTAATGTGATGTCATAGACATGCTGTGATACCTTATGAGCTGATATAGTAGACGACAGTACAACATGATAAACGAGATGATATGGTATGATGCAACGTGACACAAGAAAATGAATGGACCATGTATTGTATACAACATGTTGTATGTCATGTGCACATGTCGGTACAACAAGAATAAATGTACTACATCTACATGTATACACATGTACATCACCGTCTGTATGCATGTATACACACATGTATACATGCATACACCTATCTATATAAAAATGTGCTCCCCCCATCCACATGATCATACAGTTTCGTCATGTCGTATTATTATGATTCGTATCCTTATTCCTATGCGTTGTCTTAGTTTTCTTCGCATTCGGCTTCTTATTTGGATTTGTCCTCGTTCTTTCGTAGGCGTCGTCCAAATCGCATTCCTCGCCTGCTGCTGCTGGCCCGGGGTCGATCTGAACCCGGGTCAGGCAGGATCCTGCAGTATCCTGCAGGATCCTGCAGGATCTGGCGCTCTCACTGACCCCCGCTTGCATTGTGGATGCCATGACAATGGACACTCTAACAATCCTATCATTGAGCTCAAGATGTGTCTAAAACGTCCAAAACATGTTCCAAAAATGCTTCGAACGTACTTTTACAGATTTTAAACATGTTTGAAACAATGCTTAGACATCTGGCAGTGATCAAGGGGCCCAAGGACACACAAATAAACACACACAAACCAAGTAATCCCCCATATTTTCCCATATTTTCTGGGTTTCTGTATTCCCGCCCTCTTCCCATATTTTCCTATATTTTCTGGGAAGTCGACGATTAATTGTGTCTGTGTGTTTCCTTCCCTCCTGACATTGATCGTCCTCCACAGCCTGAGCCCCGAGCAGGGCACTCCGCCTCCAGCCCGGTGGCCCCCGCGGAGGCGTCGCCCTCGCCGGCCATCGCCCGCAGCGGGCCGCCCGCCCGGGCGCGCGGAGGGGCCGCGGGCTGGCTGCTGCTCCCGGCCGGCGGGCGTGGCGCCGGGACCTCGACGAGACTCCGCTGAGGTCGCGCAAAAAACCTCGACGAGACTTCGACGAGACCTCGACGGGACCTCGACGAGACCTCGACGAGACCTCGACGGGACGCCATGACCTCGACGAGACCTCGACGAGACCTCGACGAGGTTGACTCTGGGACCTCGACGAGACTCCGTTGAGGTCGCTGGGCGAAAAAAAGGCATCAACGAATACCCACACATCATCGAAGAATCATCGAAGAATCCTCCCCCTGACCGTGTTTTCTACTATGTTTGACTATTCCTCCTGTGGAGGGGCACGCCCGACTTAAGACTCGGGGAGTGATAGATATTTCTCGTCGTCGTCGTCGTCGCGCCCAGGCCAGACCAGCACGCAGGTTCCCCGGCTGGCGCCCGCCGCGCCCGCCAGAGCGGCCCCCGGCAGCAACCATGGCGAAGGCCCGCGCCCGCAGCCGAAGCGTCGCCACCCGAGCCTGGGCTTTGGGCGTTTGGTAGTTAAGCAAAGCTCCAACAACAATAGGCGTTGAATCCCTGCGTTTTCTCGCGATTGCGAGCTCCGGGGGCCGTCAGCGGGCCCCGGGAAGCAGCAGAAGTCGATCTGGGGCGACTGCCTGGCCCAGGGGAGGGGGTCGGGACCCCTTGGGGCTGCGTTTTCTTCAAGAGGAGCAGCAAGGAGCAGCGAGCCTCGCGCGGTGAGTTCGAATGGATCGATCAACTCACCCCGAGACTGGCCGTGAACTCCACGAAGCCAGCCTATGATGGGGCAACCCCCACTGACAGGACCAGCACCGACCCCGAACACGGCGACCCCCCGTCTGCCGCCGCGCAGGCGTGTGGAAGGGAACAGAAGTCCAGGGCACTGACTCATGGCAGGACCTCTCCAGGGAGCCACCGAGGGGATGGGAGAAAGATCGGAAGTAGCATAGGCGTCAGCACTGGCGACACTGAAAGGATCAGGCATGGCTCCTCGGGCCACTACCCTCGCTAAGCGCCCACCACCACTGAAAGCCCCCCGACTCAGGAGGTGACTCCAACAAACTCCATCTTCTCTGGCAACTCACATCAGCCTCCCATGCCATATTGCTGGTGCTTGCGCATCGACGCTATCCGGCGCTACTCGGCGCTTCTAGACGGTCATCGACGCTACATCGACACACCGATTGCGGCGGGCCTGCTGGGCACTTGATCACTGCTCCTCATTCACACACACACACACACACACACACACACACCGTCATCTGACCCAGTTTTCCAGCAAACGCAACGATTCAGCCCCATCTTCCTTCCTTGTGCTTCCCTATTCCAGAGAATGGGAGAGCGCGAAATTCAGGAAGATGTTTCGGGAGAGGCGTCCAGGGGGAGCCCGAATCCAGCACTGTGGAAAACATCTGTGCGTTCTCTCTCTCTCTCTCTCCCTCCCCCGCCCGACCTGCGAGAAGAGGACCCGGAGCAACGAGAGGCCCCCCGCCGCCATCCTCGGCACAACACGAGTGCAGAGCGCGAACACGTCCGCAGCAGCTGCACCGGGCGCGGGCGCCCCGTGGGCACTCCGCACACTGCCTCGCCGACGGGGACGGCGGGGGAGCCCTCCCGCCGTCCGCTCTGCGCCGGCCCTATGAGACCCCTGACCGAAACCTCCGGAGGGGGGGCGAAAGGGGGGGGGGGAGGGGCTCCTTTCGAGGAGGAGGAGGACGAGGAGGAGGAGGAAATGAGGAGGAGGAGGAAATGAGGAGGAGGAGGAGGGGGAGGGGGAGGGGGAGGAGAGAGGGGGGGGAGGGAGGGGGGAGCCATCCCAGATCTCAGGAGGGCGCCGAAAGGGGGTTGCACAAGAAGGAAAAAATCGCCACAGACCCACGGTGTGGCAAAAAATCTGGACCGCCGGCGGGCGCCCCGTGGGCGCCTCGCGCCGGCGCTCGACGAGGGCGGCCGCGGTGCCCCGAAGATGTCCGCTCTGCGCAGCGGCCCCGCACCCCCGTCGGCACGGAATGCTCAGCACCCTGCGCGGCAATCAAAAGCTGACTCGTGCGCGGGCGTCCGCGATCACTTTGCCCTGCCCTGCGACAGACGGGGCAGCGGAGGGTTGCCCTCATGTTGGCCGCTCCGCGCAGGCTCCCGACCCCCGACGAAAGCCAGACACAGTGCACGTTGCGGCCAAATCTGGATCATGAGCAGACGCCCCGAGATCACGTCGCACTGGCTTTCGACGGGGACGGAAGGGATGCCCTCACTTTGTCTGCTCTGTGCTTCCGACCGTACTCATGAACTCAGAGGGATCGGGGCCCACGCTCGGATGCTGCCTGTTTGTTGGGAAGGCGGGTGAGAGTGAGCGACACGGCTTGCGGCCTGGGGTAGATTGACCACTGTTCTTTACTCATATACACCTCCTCCCCCACCCGATCAGCGAGTAACCCGGGACCATGACGACACCCCCCACCATCCCTTGCAAGAACCTATACAAACTGCACTTTGCAGCAGAATCTGATTCATGCGCGGACGCCTGGTGAGCTCTTCGCATTGGTTTTTGATAGTCACTCCAGGAAGCCTGGCATATTGCTTGGCGTGCAACGCCTACACCTCCGACCATCCCTAACAAAAACTGTACGAAGTGAACTTTGCGCTAAAATCGGGATCTACGCGGGCGCCCCGCGATCGCTTCGCATTGGTTTTTGACAGTGACGTCGGGGAGCCGGCATGGTGCCTGCTGTGTGCAATGCCAACACCCCCCATCGGTCCGTGACAGGAAACAATATACAGCGCAACTTGCGGCAAAATCTGGATCATGCGCGGGCACCTAGTGGTCACGTTGAATTGTCTCTCGACTGGGGCGAAGGGATTGCTGGCAGATTGCCTGCTGCGGGCAGGTCCATCATCCCTGAAAAAACAATGCTACATGTTAGCGAGCGCGGAACCCTGCAGTGTGCCGATGGCAAACTATGTTGTGAATTATATGGGGTAACATCTATGTTGTGAACTAAATTTTCGTTCGCAATCAATTGTCAACTCCACTGCTCGCACAATCATCCCACAAACCCACCCGCCACTTGGTTTGCAAAATCGATGAGGCGGCAATTGTGATGTCTGCCTGGCGCTGATTGGCGCATGGCTGCGGCCGCGCTTGCGCGCGCAAGCTCGCGTGCAGAGCAGCCACGTGGCCGCGCTGACGCGTGGGCACTTCAGTGCGAGACGGTGACGCGGGCGGGCGCGGTATCAAGGCGACGTCGACAACGGCGACAACGACAGCAAGGCAAATGACGGCACCGATGCTGATCACGCCGATGAGGATGATGCCGTCCACGCGTCGGTGATGAAGGTTTTGGAAGGATTTCTACATGCGCGCGCGGCCGATGGGTGCGAGTGGCCCGCATGGTATCATTTAAGAGGGATCGTGCCCCCCAGCAAACGCGCAATGGCGTTCGGATGATTTCGACATGCGCGTGCGAGAGGACCGTTTGGTCGCATTTGATGACGATGTTGGAAAACGCATGGATTCTTTAAGAATTAGAAAAATCGCGCGCGCAGAATCTGTTTAACAAAAGCTGGTGTTGCACAGCCATGTGTTTGCACATGTGTTCGGACACTCGTTTTTGAAAGATTATGGCATGCGCGCGCGACGACGCGCGCATGTGCACTTCGCCCCATTATTTGCGAAGGATTCTCGAAAATGCATGATGTTTCATAGACGAGTGTGCGTGCATACTGCTCTGTTGCAAAAGATGGTGGGGGGGTCGACACCGGCTGGACTGGATGGTGTGAGCTCCTTTTTTTAAAACGAACGATGGGGCAGAATCTACATCATTTGCACATCACCAGGGCGGGCGGATCATGCCAGGGGGGCGTGGTAGCTCCTCATTCCGTTTAAGACAGGAGAACGCATGTGGTGCAAGGATGGCCCAAGATGGCCCCAAGAGGGCCCGAAGGACCTTTCAGGGAGCCCTGGAAGGTTCCCAAAAGGCACCCAAGATGCTCAAAACAGGCCCCCGAAAAGCTGGCAAGAGGCCCCCTATCAAGACGCCCCAAGATGCCTCTAGGAGGCTCCCAAGGGACATCCGAAAAGACCCAAGGTGGCGTTCAGGGGACCTCTGGCCCACACAGCCCCCCGGTATCTCAAAACAATGCCACGCTCCTCCGTTCAGGGCAGCTCCGATGGGCATCGTGTCTGGATGGGCTGGTGGAGATACGCGAAGCGCTAATGATTATAGCGGGGACGAAATAAAAAACGAAGGACGACGAGGGACGACGAGGGACGACGAGGGACGAAGGACGCAGGGGAGGACGGAACAGGGGAGAGGGAGAACGGGAGAGGGAGACGAGCAGGACCACATCGACAAGAACCAATTTTTTGGGCCAGCGAGCACCCAGCTGCTTCGAGGCTCTCGCGGCTATCTGGGAAAGAGCCCAGACAGCCGAGAAAGGACAGAGCGCCAACCGGCCAGTCAGCAGCGAATGACTGGCTCTGTGCGGCACAGGGACACGCCCCCCCGTGGCCTAGAAATGCGACAGGTGAGCGCAGGAAGGAACCAGCTGATAGGACAGTGCCGAGTGCCGCCACGGTCGATGCCGAACCTCCGCGGTGCTCAGTCTGAATCATTGGAATACTCCTCCGCGCTGACAGGCGCATAACAAGAGTTCTAGGTGGTTCCAGCGGCAGCTATAAGTCGCTGCCCATTGGACTCGATTCCCTGCTCCTCTTCTTCCTGGCGCGACACGCGAGCGACCCTTTAAGCGGCGTAATCGAGCGACGGGACAAGAGGGGCAGGACGAAGGAGCACGGGCAGAATCGGGCAAACTCCATCAACAAGGACCTACACTTGTCCTTACCATGCTGTGGGTGATCGCCTCTGAGCACACGTGTCCACTTCGAGACTTGCCGACTGTCCGTCATATCCGCATACCTCCTTAAATGCAAACTAAACTGTAAAGGCGAGCCAGTCCAGACATAAGAAGAGCAACACATTCAAATTACCAGCATGGATCGGTGTGAACAGCTGAAAGCCATGAGACAGTGTTTGTTCGCGGCAACCTTTTCCAAATCCAGGCCGCGCGTTTTCCCCGAACACTTCCGAGGACGGGGTCTAGAGGTGGGAAAAAGACGGAGGTCGGCACAAAAATCTGCCTTCCTGGTTGCCCTGAGACATCGCGCACAGCGCCACGCTCCCCCCGCCCCTCGAACGAACACTCCAACCAAGACCTCCGAACAGGTTTGGGACAGCCGGGTCAAGCCTAGCTTGCGCGACATGGCCCGCATAGTCCTTGCGAATCGAGGTGCGCTCCTCGGAGCTGCTGTTAAACTGGTTCAAAACGTCAAAACAATCAGAGTAGACGACCTATGGGCCATTCAAGCACATGACTGGGACTGCAAATCTTGAAAATTCAGCAGCTTGAGGGGTGTCTCAGAGGGGCATGAGCATGGCACTTCATCTCGCACTGTCTGACACCGTTTTTGAAAACAATGCAGCACCAATCTGCTTTGCGCAACACTTTTACAGCATGCTTCGCGCAAGAGCCGCCCACAAAGATGCCCCCTTCAATGAGGCAGGGGTCGGAGCGGCTCCGCGAACCAACGCGCGGACTAGACCCTTCCGACAACGGGGCCGGGCGAAAAGCAGGTTGCGATTGGCGATGAACGATTACAGCTCTCTCGACAGCTCTGGATCCATAACAGCTCCACGCTCATCCCGGACCTTGGGGCGCTTCCACGACCGACGCAAAGGACTGTCTCTCGTACCAGTCAAACGGACAGTCTGGGGGACACTGGCATCCTCTTGAGCGCGCATAGACTCCAGTCAAAAGCGCACCACCGAAGACAGTCCTCAATATGGCCTTCTGCAGGGGCGAGTACCTCTTAGATGCCGGATGTTTGAGGACCACGTCGAAGCACACTCGACTAGGGGAGAAAAGCGCCTCGCAAATCCGGCGCTCTAACTGGCGCAGGACGGCGTCGAACAGCAACTGTTTCAGCATCGCAGCTGACTGCAACGTGAGAGTGACCTCCAGACCTAAGTCGGTGACAACTGTGGCAAAATTTAGCATCGTCTAGCCAGGTTGTTCCAAAGTTTCCCCCATAGCCGACGCAGGACCCGAGACCGCCCACCAAATCCTGGAAGGCTCCTGGAATTGGGGGCACACGCACCCCTGAGAACCTGGAGAAACAAACAAGACGGGCGCACCTGTAATTTGAAGTTCCAAATTTCCTTACGCCACCTAACTATGGGAGCCCCCTGGACTTGCCAAATAGGATCTCGCTCCAACCTTATTATGAGTATAGGCAGCGAGCGGTCGCCAGCCTGAGGTTTTAGAATGGACGCGAAAAAACGGCGAAGGCGACGAAGCTGAGACTCCGTAAATCCCCGCGGCCACATGTCGAGGCAGGGAGAGTGCCAGAGGCCCCAACCGAACGCGCCCTACGCCCTACGCTGCCAGTGAGACGCCCAAGCCTCTTCGCCCTCACTCGAGCATTGCGCCGCCGAACGTTGGACGCGGCCTTCAAGCCGCCGCGGCGCCCCATCTCGCCGGCCCTGTCGCCCGCGCCGAGGTTCGCGCAGACAGCGAGCACGCGGCCCCGCGAGGGCACGCCCGATCTGCTGCGGGATCTCCAGCGCGAGAGAGCGGCGCGAACCAGCGAGGCGGCCAGTCTTCGGCCGACGTCAGCCCGAGATCCCCACTCACCACCCGGTAGAGAAGTCCAAACAGGACCAGTGGGCAAACCCCTGGAGAGCATCCCAACAGGATCCCACAGCGCGACTGCCGCAGGCATCGATGTAAAGACTGCGCAGTCCACGCGAGGATGCCACGCGACGGGGCCCAGCCAGGCCCGACAGTGAGTTGACCTGAATAAGCATCGCGGCGAAGGGGCCGCTTGCGACGACGCCTCTCCGCGCATGCAGGGCAATGTTCAGCATGCCATCCAGACCCGGCGCCTCGGAGCGCGGCGCCCCAGGCAGGCGAGGCGGGCGATGCCTCGGGGGAAACCACCATGCCGCTCACAACCCGCGAGCACCCGAACCATGGAAGGCGACTCGCAATACTTTAGAGGGGGTCCCATACGAGCGTGGCCGATCACAGTCCAGCAGCAGCCCCTCCTTCGGAGAGGAGGGCCTGCCGCCAGACGGCGTCGGCCGCGCCCGTGCACTTCCCCGCAGCGAACCAATACCTCTGGCGGGCGGACCCCCGGGCGACCGCCGGCGGTCTGCGGAGCCGCCCCCTGAGGCGGAAGGGACCACAAAAAGCTCCGATGCGTCTGAATCCTCCAGGAAGTTTGGGCAGAAGCATCGAAACAGAAGCGTAACTCTGAGGCGGGAGAGGCGAAGGGCCCCCATAACATTGCAAATGTGCGGAAGGCCTTTGAGGCCTCGTCCGAGAGCCAACCACACTGCCGCACGCGGAACCCGTCGGCATTCACAGCAGATCGTCGCAAACTTTTGCTCGCGGCACCGAGGGCGCCAATAAGGGGGAAGCCCAACTCGGGATCGGGTCTAAACTCCAAAGGAGGAAGGGGGAATTCACAGGAGCGGCCTGTAGCAGAGCCTTGTACTCGGCCGTCTCAGTGGCCAAGGTGGAAAAGGAGGTCACTGAAAAGATACCGGTCAGTAACCAAAACTGCAATGGCCGACCAGACACGAGAGGGCGAGGTGACCTGACGCACGCGATCAGGACGCAGCCCAAGAAAATCGGACATTCCCCAGGAAAAACGGACAATCCCCGGTAGCACCGGGGAATGTCCGATTCCGGCGGCACTCCCTTTGCGAATGTTTCGAGCGGGGTCGGGCCGCAAAGTCTTCGAAAGCCAACTGGTTGGCTTACGTCTGACCATTCGGCTTCCGAAAAAAACATACCCGGAAATGTCTGATCTCGGTGTGCTCGCGCGTTGTAGTACTGGTACTCGTAATTGTAGTAGTAATGGCAGTGGTAATTAGTAGTAGTGGCAGTGGCAGTGGCAGTGGCAGTGGCAGTGGCAGTGGCAGTGGCAGTGGCAGTAGTAGTAGTAGTAGTAGTAGTAGTAGTAGTAGTAGTAGTAGTAGTAGTAGTAGTAGTAGTAGTAGTAGTAGTAGTAGTAGTAGTAGTAGTAGTAGTAGTAGTAGTAGTAGTAGTAGTAGTAGTCGTAGTAGTAGTAGTAGTAGTAGTAGTAGTAGTAGTAGTAGTAGTAGTAGTAGTAGTAGTAGTAGTAGTAGTAGTAGTAGTAGTAGTAGTAGTAGTAGTAGTAGTAGTAGTAGTAGTAGTAGTAGTAGTAGTAGTAGTAGTAGTAGTAGTAGTCGTAGTAGTAGTAGTAGCAGTAGTAGTAGTAGTAGTAGTAGTAGTAGTAGTAGTAGTAGTAGTAGTAGTAGTAGTGGTAGTGGTTGTAGTGGTACTAGCAGTGGTACTGGTAGTAGTAATACTAATAGTAGTCGTAGTAGTAGTAGTAGTAGTAGTAGTAGTAGTAGTAGTAGTAGTAGTAGTAGTAGTAGTAGTAGTAGTAGCAAAAGTACTGGTAGTAGTCGTAGTCGTAGCAGTACTTCTAGTCTTAGAAGTAGTAGTAGTTGTAGTAATAGTAGTAGTAGTAGTAGTAATAGTAATAGTAGTAGTAGTAGTAGTCGTCGTCGTCGTCGTAGTAGTAGTAGTAGTGATAGTACTCGAAGTCGTAGTAGTAGTAGTAGTAGTAGTAGTCGTCGTAGTAGTACTAGTCGTAGTAGTAGTAGTAGTACGACTAGTAATAATAGTAGCAGTAGTAGTAGTAGAAGTGGTAGTAGTGAAAGTAGTTATTGTTGTAGTAGCAGTAGTAGTAGTAGTAGTAGTAGTAGTAGTAGTAATAGTATTAGTAGTAGTAGTAATAACAGGAACAGTAGTAGTAATAGTAATAGTAGCAGTAGCAATAGCAGTAGTAGTAGTAGTAGTAGTAGTAGTAGTAGTAGTAGTAGTAGTAGTAGTAGTAGTGGTAGTAGTAGTAATAGTAGTAGTAGTATACTAGTATAGTAGTATCGTAGTATAGTAGTGAATAGTTAAGCCTCTCAGAAGCCTCTCAGAAGCCTTTCAGCTGCTCCTCAGAGACAATGAATGCTCTCAGAAATATACTGGGGGATGTCTGATTTTCCCAGGGTAGGTCCGATTCTACAGGGAAAAATCTTTTTCTCCCTGACGCACCCTCCTGGCCCACCTTTCAGTACCCACCATTTCCACTCGGCCCAGGAAGCCCGCCCTCTCGCTCCGGCCTCGACCACCGCCGACTCAACGGCAGCGGCGACCTCGGAAAGACGCGCCTCAGCTACCAGCTGCGCCGCCTGACTGAGGGCTGCGCCACTCGCCAGCCCGAGAGATTCACCAAAAAGTACCGCTCGGCCTTCCCCGCCAGCGACTACCTGCCTAGGCGCAAGAAGAACAGCAGCGCGAGCGGCCTCGAAATCAGCGGCAACATCTCTCCGTTCGCCGCCGCCCCCTCGGCCAGACTCTCCGGCGCAAACCGCGGGGGGGGGATTTTAGGGCGAACCATTTGAGGCGCTTATGTTCCTTAGCGCCAATGTCCTCGATGCCCCCCCAAACGACTTCAGGCGCGACCCCGCGATGGCCCAACTTGGATAAGGACAGCCCCTGTGCGATTGCAGGGTTCGGCCCAGCCGCGCCTGCCCATATCTGGCAGGCCTCGCCCAGTCATTGCTGAGTGGCGACGCCCTTCCCCATCCCAACTTTCATGGCCTCGCCCAGCTCGGTTCGCACCTATGCATGCGAGGGAGATCACATGGGAGGCCCCATCACTCGTGGGGCGCGAGGTCGGCCTTCGAATCGAGGGTGGCCGATCTGGCTGCTTGGCTAAGGCCGCGGATGGCCAAAAAATAATCGTTCATCCCCAGGCCTCCAGCGGTCGAGCAGGCGGGGCGAGGTGGTGACCACAGCCCGCCCTTGACCTCTTCCAACAAAGAGGACTGGAGGAAGGCGCCGGGCCCCAGAGTGAAATCGCCCACCCCCCCCACGAGCCACAGCACTCCAGAAGACGCAGCGAATTCCCGGACTGACACTACGAGTAATATGACTAGATCACCATAACCAACTCCGTGAAATACATAGACACTGGCCACCGCTATACTGACGCCTCCTGGAAGCTGAACCACTCCTCCTACCGCGCGCCCATCAAGAAGAGAAGACCGACCGAGAGGATGCAGCCACGGGAAGGAGCGAGCGAAGATAGCCGCGCCTCCACGGGCGCCCGAGGATTCTTCAGGGAGACAAGGGCGAAGGACTTCCACCCTCGTCGGAACGCCCAAGCCAAGGCCGGGTCTAAATCTCCCTGGCTCCTACGGCGGCGCTCTTGGAGACACGCCACGCGAGCCCTTGTCTACTTCAGCCAGCTCCGGGCCAACCCCAGCCTGAAAAATTCGCAGGGCACCCCAAAAAACGGGCCCCCACAAGGAGGCGAGCCCACCAAGGCCGACGCCGCCAAATCGGCCCCGGGAGGAACCGCTAGACCAAGGAAGCAATCCAGATGGGGAACCTTTCCGATGATGGCGAAGAGCCTTGGTATTCACCAGGTTCAGCGCCCTCCAACAGGAACTGACGGCGGGCGCATGAGAAAGTACTTGGGGGGCGCCCCCATCCTACGTTAGAGATTCCACTGATGGGCCCCCCCCCTGGTTGGCGATGCGGGAAGCCTCCGCAAATCCCCGCCTGCTGGATCCACTGAGATTGAACAGTCTGGGCCTGGCTCAGCGGCTGGCGGGCCGGCTGGCGCGGCGCTCGCGGCTGCCTGCTGGCCTGGCTCGGGGGCGGCGTGAGCTCCGGCAGTAGGCCCTGCGTCATCACCGCCAGCAACTGACGCTGCGCCGCCAGCAGGAGGGTCGACTCCCTGCCGCTTCGCTTTGAAACTTTCGGGTGGGGCAGCGTGGTCAGCTTTTGCCTTTTCTGCCTGCTCCACGGCTTGCTTGAGCAACGAACAGATTCCACCAGCGCCTCCGCCTGCTGCCTGTCCTCGGGCGAGAATTCCAAGTCGGCGCCGCCATCCGCCAACAAGAGGTCGCCGACCACGCTTGGGATCACGGCATCTTCTCCCGCGAATAGGTCGCGCACGGACCATTCGCACTCCTTCGGGGTAGCGGGCGAAGCAACTGGGGCTGCGACTGCTGCGTGTACCTGACCAACCAATGATTAGTAAAGCTGCTCCGATGATGCCAACTCGTCAGACAAAGAAGATGCGGAGCGCTGCTGCTCGGAGAGACGAAGGTCCTCATACTGCTTGACAGCCTTGGCCAGCTTCGCCTCAACCGAACGGATACTACTCAACGCTGTGGTAATACGCTGCTGAAGGGGGGGGGGCTCACGCGAGGCTGCCTACCTCTTGCCAAGGAATGCATGATGCCAATGCACGCCTGTGGAGTCCCCGACCTAAGGGAGCATGGGGACCGGACCTTCGAGCTCCTCGGTGGACAAGTCAGCTGTGCATGCACTTGGGCTTCCCGACGATGCGCCGACGCGAGAATCGAGACCACCGTAGCCACCGCCCCCATGAGCATGACCACCAGCACCATGATGGCGCCAGCGGAAGAATCCCAGGGCCGACGCAATCATTCCCACTGTGCTTGCATACAGACGACTGCAGGCTGATCTTCTTCCATAGATAACAGGTGCACGCCCACATGTAGTTATTCTTGTCACGTGAGTCCACCCAGGTGCTGGCGAAGGGAAAATAAGCGAGGGCGGTGTGCCAGGAGGACGCGTCCGCGAAGGCGAAGGGCGTCTGAGCCGACTCCTCGCTGCGGATACTGCGGTCCCCATGACTGCTGCTGTCTCGTCCACGGCGCACACTGACGCCAAGAGTCAGCATATGCCATCGGCGAAAGACTTGTAGGGAAGGGATGCTCCACCAGGAGCTCACAAGAATGCCGAAAACACCTCGTCTGACCAGGCAACGGGGTGTCACAAGCTGTCGGGGGCCGCGACTTCCCCCACGCCGGTAAGGTCAGGTCCTGTGCCACAGCACTACGGACTTGAGCCAAAATGGCTACGGACGTCGACAAGAACAAGGACGACGACGAGGATGATGAGGGAACGACGACTACGAGGAGGAGAGAGGTGGCACACATGGTTCGCCGCCAAGCCTCGCGGCGGTCGCGAGGAGGTCTGAAGGCCGCGCGGGATGTGGTGGCCGCGGGCCGGGGCGGCTAATCGGGCGGCGCTCGAAAACTCACCTGGGGCCCAGGCTCGCTCGCCAACCATCTAACTAGTAGAAGGATCAGAAGGTGGCAGGAGGTAGCCCAGGCCATCTCATGCTGCTGCTGCTGCTGCAGCTGTTGCTGCTGGCTAATCCTCGTCCTCGTAGTCGCCCTCCTCCCCCTCCTCCTTCTCCTCCTCCTCGCCCTCCTCCTCCTCCTCCTCCTCCTCCTCCTCCTCCTCCTCCTCCTCCTCCTCCTCCTCGTCCTCGTCCTCCTCCTCCTCCTCCTCCTCCTCCTCCTCCTCCTCCTCCTCCTCCTCCTCCTCCTCCTCCTCCTCCTCCTCCTGATCATCATCATCATCATCATCATCATCATCATCATCATCATCATCATCATCATCATCATCATCATCATCATCATCATCATCATCATCATCATCATCATCATCAGCAGCAGCCCTCATAATCATCATCGTCATCATCATCGTCATCCTCATAATCCTCATCATCCTCATCATCATCATCATAAAAAAAACATAATCAGAATCAGCATCATCAGCAGCAGCATCATCAGCATCATCATCATCATCAGCATCCTCATCAGCATCATCAGCATCATCATCATCAGCATCATCAACATCATCTGCGTCATCATCATCATCATTATCATCCTCATCATCAGCATCGTCATCAGCAGCATAATCATCATCATTGTCATCAGCAACTTGATGACCATCATCATCAGCAGCATCATCAACAGCATCAGCAGCATCATCATCATCATCATCATCATCATCATCATCATCATCCTCATCCTCATACTCATCCTCATCCTCCTCTCCTGCTCCTCTGCTGCTCCTCGTGCTACTGCTCATCGTCACCAGCAGCATCAGCATAATCACTTACCATTGGAATGCTCGCCCACCTCCTCCTGCTCCTCCTCCTCCTCCTCCTCCTCCTCCTCCGCTTCCTCCTCCTCCTCCTCCTCCTCCTCCTCCTCCTCCTCCTCCTCCTCCTCCTCCGTCGCACCCCGAGCCCAGGTTGTAGGGCGGGTCAGGCGTTTCGCCTGAGACTTCCTCACCATTTTCACGAATTGAGGGCGGGTCGTTTTCAAAATGTGGCTCTTGCCTTAGCGCCAGCATCACGCATATTCGATTTTGTTCGTTTCAAAATTGCAAGGGTTTCACGGATTGAGGGCGACCCGTTTTCAAAACGTGGCTCTCACCTCAGCGCCACGTATGAAAAGGTTGCAAGAGCTTCACGGATTGAGGACGGTTCTTTTTCAAAATGTGGCTCTCGCCTTAGCGCCGCGCATAATATTCGTTTTCAACGTGTGCAAGAATTTCACGGATTCCCCCATGATCAGCGTCCCAGAAATAGTGTTTTGGAAGGATTCAGGATTACGAGTGTGCAACAGTTACGTTGATTCGAGGTGAAGCCCCACGAATGTCGTTCTGGCAAGATTCCGGATCATTAGGGCGCAACAGTCAGGTTGATCCGTGGCGTTGGAATCCCGAGAACAACGTTTTGGCAGGCTTCAGGGTCTTCAAACGGATGTCATTCCAAAAAGGCAGTTCCATCAGTGAAAATGAACCTTTGTAGGGGCCTGTGAAGAGGGAGCTTGGAGGGAGGGCTTATTCCAACATCGTTGATGACTCTTGGGTTTACACTGGTCCTCCGCCTCCTCATCCTCCTCCTCCTCCTCCTCCTCCGTCTCCTCCTCCATCTCCTTCTCCATCTCATCCTCCATCTTCTGCTCCATCTCCTCCTCCATCTCCTCCTCCATCTCCTCCTCCATCTCCTCCTCCATCTCCTCCTCCATCTCCTCCTCCATCTCCTGCTCCATCTCCTCCTCCGTCTCCTCCTCCATCTCCTCATCCGTCTCCTCCTCCGTCTCCTCGTCCATATCCTCCTCCGTCTCCTCCTGCATCTCCTCCTCCATCTCCCTCCTCCATCTCCTCCTCCATCTCCTCCTCCATCTCCTCCTCCATCTCCTCCTCCTCTCTCCTCCTCCATCCTCTCCTCCTCTCTCCTCCTCCTCCTCCTCCTCTCTCCTCCTCCTCCTCCTCCTCCTCCTCCCTCCTCCTCCTCCTCCCTCCTCCTCCTCCTCCTCCTCCTCCTCCTCCTCTCCTCCTCCTCCTCCTCCTCCTCCTCCTGCTCCTCCTCCTCCTGCTCCTCCTCTTCCTCCTCCTCCTTCTCCCCCTTCTCCACCGGGGGGTGGCGGCGCCGCCGCCGCTGGCCCCGAGCGGCCTGGGCCCAGGTGCCCCCCCCCCCCGGGAGCAGCTGTAGCTCTATACCGCTGCAGCAAGTAGGCGCCATGCCGCTGCAGCAGCTGCTCCCCCTCGGGGTGGGCGGCGCCGGCAGCGTCTGGCTCTGTACCGCCGCGACGGGCCCTTGCTGGTGGGCAGCTCCAGGGGAAGGAAGAATAACGCAAGCATGAGAACGCGAAGGTCCGCGCGGATTTCTCGGATGGGGCGCTGGGGCCCTCTGGCGGCGCCTTCGGCGCCGCCCCTGGCGCGCTCCCGGCGCGGACCTCCGAGTTGTTATGTTTATGTCAAGTTTCGTTCCCCTAAGCTCGGGGCGGAGCAGCAGCCGCACCGTGCCCGTTCGGGCGGGATGCAAGAGGCTGTAGCCCGCGGGAAGATCCAACCAGCCCTCTGGGTGAGACGGCTCAGGGCGTTTCCCTCTCCAACCCCCCTTCTCTCCCTGCGGGGAGGGACTTGCCCTTCCCCCCCACCACCTCCCACGACCACCGCGCAGCACCCCATATCTCTCCTGCCCGCGGACCAGATGTGGACTATGTGGACGGCATTCTGGCGCGGTGGCTGGCCCTGGCCAACAACGGAGAAAAGGACGAGGAACAGATGTATTTGTTGGACGGAGTTTTGGACTTGAGCGTTGGGGGGGGACCTTGCGACTAGCTAAAAACTCTTGGGGTGTTCTTGGGGTCCTCATGAGGGTAACCAGGCTCGCCTTGGGCCCTTGCTGGGCCCCTTCTATCGGACGCCAAGACTTGATAAAGCCAAAGTCCTTGAAAAATTGACCTGGCGAAGGACCCAACCATATGCAGTTGTGAATACCGTCGTTGTGAATATCGCCGTCGGTGGATCTCCTTCTGGGGCCACGAAGCTCCGGAAGGGTGTGCCAGGCTTTTGGGCCAAAATGGCACATAATATCTCAACATGCCCTTCAGATTGGCTCAGCATGGCCCTCCGGCATCCCTCCAAGAGGCCTTAAGACGGCCCCAGGGCGATTCCTAGTGGCCTCAGAGCCTCACAAAAAAGACCCCAAGAAGCCAAAGTCCGTCAGGCACCTCATGTGTCTTACGTGCCTTTTGCCTTCTCATCTCGTCGCTTCTGACGAAGCCCTGAGATCTCAAGATGAGTCCAAGATCGCCCGAGCGAGCCCCAAGAGGGACCAAGGGGGTCCCAAAGCGCACAAGAGCACCCCACGAGCGTCCAAAGAGGGACCTAAGAGACGATTGTTCGGGCTCCGTCGGGTCGAGGCTAATCAAAGTCGCCCCCTTTTTGATCGACGCCCTCCAAGATGGCCCTAGAAGGTCCCCAGGGTTTATCAGAGACAGACCCAAGCAGAGCCCCAACAGCGTGCCAAACGGCCACGTCAGCGCCCAAAGATTGCTCCAAGAAGTACACAAGACGCTCGCAGATCCAAAGATCCGCGCCGGCCTTTACGGTTGACTCCTGAGTCTGCCCACGCTGATCCCAAGCCTCGGTTTGACGACTGCCCTCCTTGCTTTTCCACTGCATGGTCCTGTATTCTCCTGATCCGGGCAACTCGCCTGGGGATCGCTTCTGAATGGGCTGGAAGGGGGGAATGCGCGAAGCGTCGACAACATAGCTTTGGATTCATCCTATTCAGAGGGGCGAGGGATGAGGGGGAGGCAGCAAGGCAGGAGATGGGGAATGCGGAGACATGACGCGACCACAACCACATCGAGGACGCACCCTAGAGAATATCTTGGGCGTCAGCAATCGCCAGAGCACCAGAACCAGCTTGGTGGTGGTGGTGGTCGATGTGTGCCTCCCAGACGGCCAAATCGACCAGAACCACAAGCAGAGTGCTGCTGTCGAGGTCGGCGGGGTCTCCCCTCGAGGAGCCCTGCAGAGAAAAAAGCCTCCGCTGCGGCTGTGGCTCTCTGCTGCGCACGGACTGGGAGAGCCGTGCTGGGGGATGGAGACGGAGCCACTCCCGGCCCCTCTCAGGCGGGCTGTGGAGGCCCCTGGGGAGGCCTCGGGAGACACCTGCGAGGGGGATCTCGGGGGGGGGGGGGGGGGAAAGGGTAGCATGGCAAAGGGTAGGGCATAGAATCGATCAGCTCACGTGGCTGGACTTCCTGGCGTCTCCTGGCGCCCGGAGGCGCCCACGCACCGAGGAATGGGCCCGGCGGCGGGGCGGAAACCAGCTGCATACAGCAGACTTCGTCCCCCCCCCCCTCTGCCTGTCCTGTCCTCTCGCGCAGCCCGAGGGGCGCAGCTCGGACGCCCTGCTCTTCCTCCTCGCTCCGTGCTCTGGGCCCTGGCGAGTTCGCCTCGCGAGGCCGACCCCCCTCTCGCAGAGGCCTGCACCTGCGTCTAGCTGGGTCTGCCTGTCGATGATCCGCCATCCGCCACCGCACCTCGCTGCGGCCGGCGCCACTCGCTCTGCCTCCGCGTTGCCTCCGGGAAGAGGCGGGAGGAGCGGGAGGCGAAGGGCAGTCGGCGGCGCGCACTGCGGGGCTGGCGCCAGGGGGGTGGCCTCCCAAGGAGGCGGAGGGGCTTCTGCGTGAGCTGATGATGATGATGATGATGATGATGATGATGATGATGATGATGATGATGATGATGATGATGATGATGATGATGATGATGATGATGATGGTGGTGGTGATGATGATGAGGATGATGATGATGATGATGATGGTGGTGGTGATGATGATGAGGATGACGAGGATGATGATGAGAATGATGATGATGGTGATAACAATGGTGATGATGACGGCGACGACAACAACGATGGTGATGGTGATGAGGATGACGACGACGACGACGACGACGACGATGATGATGATGATGATGATGGTGATGATGGTGATGATGGTGACGGTGATGTTGACAGTGATGGTGACGGTGAAGGTGATGGTGATGGTGATGGTGATGGTGATGGTGATGGTGATGGTGATGGTGATGGTGATGGTGATGGTGATGGTGATGGTGATGGTGGTGATGGTGATGATGGTGATGATGGTGATGATGGTGATGATGGTGATGATGATAATGATATTGATAATGGTAATGATAATGAAGATGATGATGATGATGATGATGATGATGATGATAATGATGGTGATGGTGATGGTGATGGTGATGGTGATGGTGATGGTGATGGTGATGGTGATGGTGATGGTGATGGTGATGGTGATGGTGATGGTGATGGTGATGGTGATGGTGATGGTGATGGTGATGGTGATGGTGATGATGATGATGGTGATGGTGAAGATGATGACGATGATGATGATGATGATGATGACGATGATGATGATGATGATGATGATGATGATGATGATGATGATGATGATGATGATGATGATGATGATGATGATGATGATGACGACGGGGAAGCCCTCCCGGCTTCTGAGAAGCCGTCTGAGAGGCAAGCTGCGGGCGCTTCCGAGAAGGCCCCTGCCCGCCGAGCAACCCTCGGGCCACCACCACCCGTGCGGGCCGCCGGGGCGAGCGAGGGAGGGGACGGGGCCGGGCCAGAGGGCGGCTACAGCTCGGCCTCCGTCTCCGCCTCCTCGTCCTCCTCGCGGCGGCGCGCAGGAGGGGGGTCGGGGGAGGGGGGAGGGCGAGGGCCTCTGAGGAGGGGGCCGCTCCTCAGGAGGCGCTGGCCTTGCGCCTGCAGACGAGGCCCGCGCCCTCTGAGAAGCAGAGGGCTGTGCTTCTGAGCAGCCCTCCCCCCACCCCCCGACTTACCCCCCCCTGGCGCGTGGCCGGTCCTCCTCGGGGACCCTGTCGGGGAAGTTGCGGTCTATCAGGCGGAGCGCGTTCCTCGCGAACTCGGCGGGGTTCACGCTGGGCCAGAACATGGCGACCTTCCTGCCGCCCTCTCGGAGGGGGTGCAGCAGCGCGCCCCAGCGGCCGCTCACGCCCAGCGCCCGGGGTATGCTCTGCCTCGCGTCGGAGAGCAGCGGGAACGGGAGGCCGTACTCCTCTCGGGAGCGGCCAAGAGGGGGGTGTCCCAGAGGGGGGGGTGCAAAGCATGACCGGCGGCATGTGCGCGGCCCCCCTCTTTTCCGCCCCCGATCCTCCCGGAACTTCCGGTTCTCCTCGGGGCTGCTCGGAGACACGCCCAGCACCTGGGGGAGGCGGCTGCGCAGGAAGCAGAAACCAAGTCGGGGCTGTGCTGGTCCTTGCGGAGCAGATATGAGGAGCTCACTGGCCCATCGCGTCCAAGGCATGCCAGAACCTCTGGTCAGAAATTTAAGACGACGATCGATCTCACTATCGAAATAATGATCGATCTCATGATCGACATCACGATTGATCTCACTATCGACCTCACTGTCGATCTCATTATCGATATCACTGTCGATCTGACTATCCCTCTCACGATCGATTTCACGATCAAACTCACGAACGATCTCACTATCGACCTCCTTATCGATCTCACTATCGATCTCGCTATCGATCTCACTACTGGACACCAACTGGACGCCGATGGGACACCGACGGGACACCCTCTTTGAGCCTCCTTGGGCCGCCTTGGAGGCCTCGTGGGCCGCTCGGAAAGCGTCTTGGGCCGTCGGGACGGCTGTCTGACCGTTCTGAGAGCTGCTCGGCGTGCCCCCAGCGGCGGGCCCCGCCCCGAAGCACCCCGAAAAGAGTCGGCCCCCCCCCAGGACCAAAAGGGGGTCGCAAGCGGGAGATTTGATAAAGTGCGCCAGCCCAGGATCCGGGGACCCAGTTCCCCGTGCTATATATAGAGAGAGAAAAAGAAAGAAAGAAAGACAGAAAGAAAGAGCCCGCTGAACCCACCATGATCCCCCATCTCCTCGTCCACTCTATGAATTATCATAGGTTTCCTCTATTTCCGGAATGCCCCGCCGGGGCCCCTCCCAGAGGCCCCCACCGCAGCCGATTCTTTCGCACACCGTCATCCTAATCAGAACCATTATCATCATCATCATCATCATCATCATCATCATCATCATCATCATCATCATCATCATCATCATCATCATCATCAGCATCATCAGCATCATCATCACACTCATCAGTTTCATGATCATCTCAGTTATCACCATTCTCACCATCATTACCATCGCCAGTACCATCGTCATTGCCTTCATATCGTCACACTCATCGGCATCATCATCACCATCACCACCATCGCAGTTATGACAACATGAATACCATTGCCAATGTCACCGTCATCAACATCCCCAGCATCACCATCACCATCCTCATCATGTCTCGCTCGAGGTCTCTGGTGCGCCCTTGCCCTGAACCTCTTTCCGCATCACTCGATGTTCGGGCCGTGCTCGTGTTCTCGTGTGCTGCAGCCTCTGTACTGCTTCGGTGTGTGGTGGACCGTGGAGCAGCTGCACTACCTGGTGTGCTCTTTGGCCGAAGAAGGCAACGACGAGGAGGTCGAGAAGCACACACTCAACTCCCTCCGTCTCCAACAGACCCCCCCCCATACTCAACAGCCTTCGTGTCAGACACACCACCTGACACTCCACAGGCTCCATCCCCAAGCCGAATTTGAAACTTTCCTTCTACTCAACACCCTCCGTCCCCAACACACCCCCACACACGCAACAGCCTTCGTGTACGACACACCTTCACTCAACAGGCTCCCTCCCCAAGCCTATGTTGAAACATTCCTTCTGCTCAACGCCCCCCGTCTCCAACACACCTCCACATAATCAACAGCCTTCGTGTCCAACACACCACCCGATACTCAACAGGCTCCCTCCCCAAGCCTGAGTTGAAGCATTCCTTCTACTCAACTCCACCCGTCTCCAACACACACCCCACATACTCAACAGCCTTCGTGTCCAACACACCTCTCGATACTCCACAGGCTCCCTCCCAAACGCATAATATGAAACACTCTTTCTACTCACCTCCCTCAGTCTCCAATACACCCCAACATACTCAACAGCTTTCGTATCAGACACCGCCCGATAGCCACCAAAAGGCTCCCTCTCCAATCCTAACGTGAAACATCCCTTCTACTCAACACCCTACGTCTGCAGCACACCCACACATACTAAACAGCCTTCGTATCCAACATACCAACCGATAATCAACAGGCTCCCTCCCGATGTCTAACTTGAGACATTCCGTCTACTCAACGCCCTCCGTCCACAACACACCCCCACATACTCAACGGCCTTCGTGACACCACCCGATACTCAACAGGCTCCCTCCCCAACTCCAACTTGAAACATTCCGTCTACTCACCCCCCTCCGACTCCAACGAACCCCCACATACTCAACAGCATTCGTGTCCAACGCACCACCCGACATTCCACAAGCTCCTTCCCCAAGCCTAAACTCTACTCTACTCCCTCCGTCTCCAACACACACACACACACCCATACTCAACAGCCTTCGCGTCCAACACACCACCTGACACTCAACCGGCTCCCTCCCCAGGCTTAATCTGAAACGCTCCTTCTACTCAACTCCCTCCGTCTCCAGCATACCCCCACATACTCAACAGATTTCGCGTCCAACACACCACCCGACACTCAACCGGCTCCCTCCCCAGGCTTAATCTGAAACGCTCCTTCTACTCAACTCCCTCCGTCTCCAACATACCCCCACATAATCAACAGATTTCGCGTCCAACACACCACCTGACACTCAACCGGCTCCCTCCCCAGGCTTAATCTGAAACGCTCCTTCTACTCAACTCCCTCCGTCCCCAACCCACCCCCACATACTCAACAGCCTCCGTGTCCAGCACACCACCCGATACTCAACAGGCTCCTTCTCCAACTCTAACTGGAAACACTCCTTCTACTCAACTCCCTCCGTCTCCAACACCCCCCAGCATACTCAACAACCTCCGCGTCCAACGCACCACCCGACACTCAACTGGCTCCCTCCCCAAGTCTAATCTGAAGCACTCCTTCTACGCACCTCCCTCCTCCCCCAACAAACCCCCACGTACTCAAAAGTCAGCCTTCGTGTCCAGCACACAACCCCATACTCAACAGGCTCCCTCCCCAAGCCTACCTTGAAACAATCCTTCTACTCAACTCCCTCCGTCTCGCTGTCTGTCCCTGATCGCTCCTCTCTCCTCTCACATACGTCCTTACTGCTCTCGGGTTCCCGTGGAGCTATTTTTGGACCATCCTGAGGCCTGAGAGGCACATCGAAAGAGAAAAGGCAAGGTCTTCAGAATGATTCGGGCACATAGCCTTCCGTAGGTTTTTGAATGATTCGGGCTCGCTGGGGGCCTCTGAGAGGCCTCTTGGGAGCCTCTTGGGGGCCTCTTGGGGCCGTTTGGGGGCCATATTGAGCTGTCTTGGCCGTCTGGTGTCGATCTTAGGCCGTCTTGGTGGCCTCAAGGGCCGTCTTGAGACCATCTTGGGCCGTCTCGGGGCCATCTTGAAGGGTCCTGGGGGCCCCCGTCGGCCGTCTTGATGCTCCCTCGGGCTCCTCTGGCGCGCTTGACCTTGTCTGACGCTTTCTGAAGCCGTCTGTCTCGGGGGACTCTGGGAGGTCCCTGGGGCCGTTTTACTCTGGAGTGCTATTGGGGCCGTCTTGTGGCCTCGTGGGGCTCCTCTTGGGGCACGCTTGGGCCGTTAGACGTCCAGCCAGAAGCCTCATGAGCCCATCGGAAACGACAAAGCGAGATCTTCAAACACTAATGCTTTCCCATAGTTGTTCATTGATGTTGGCATTGCGGGGCCCTCTTGGAGGCCTCTTGAGTCCAGATCCTCGAACGAGCAAGCAGAAGATCCACAGAGTTCGCCTCTCGAGACCCTTTCGCGGGCCCTGCTGGACCCGCCCGCGCGGTCCGTGGGGTCTCTTCTGACCAGCTTGCAGCCATCTGGGAGCCTCGCTGGCCACGCTGGTCCGCCTCGGCGGCCCCTTTGCGTCCTCTGGGGCCGTCCTGAAAAGCCCCCGGGAGCCCGGAAAATCGCTTGTAGCGCTGGGAAGGGCCCGCTGGCCCCAGGGACGAAACTCTGGTGCGAGGGGGGGAATGGGAGTCTTGAAAAAGAAGGGTTCTGGGGCCCCAGGGCCCGGTCGCCGGTTATACCGTGGGTATAGGTGTAAGCATACATACATACATACGTACATACATACCGACCTACCTACCTGCCTGCCTACCTACCTGCCTGCCTACGTACATACATACATTTCATACGTCCAGTACAGTACAGTACAGTACAGTACAGTACATTACATGGCATTACGTTACACTACACTCAACTACATCACAGCAAAGTAAATTACTTGACAATGCATCGCATTGAATTACATTAAATAACTTTAATGCACATTACATTGAACTCCAATACATTACACTACGCTGCGTTACATTACGTTTCAGAATGTTACATTCCACTACATTCCATTACATTGCATGACAGTGACATTTCATGGAATTTACATACATGCAAACATACACACGTATATGCATACATACATACATACATACATACCTACCTACCTACCTACCTACCTCCCTACCTACATATATACATACATACATACATACATACATACATACATACATACATACATACATACATACATACATACATACATTTATATATGTGTGTGTATACATACCTATATGTATGTGAATGTATATATATGTAGATTCGTACATGCATGTATGAATGCATGCATGCATATATACATACATACATACATACATACATACATACATACATACATACATACATACATACATACATACATACATACATACATACATGCATGCATGCATACATACATACATACATACATACATACATACATACATACACACATACAAACATACATGCATACATACATACATACACATACATACATACATACATACACATACGTCCATGCATACATCTATACATACATACATACATACATACATACATGTATGCATACATACATGCATGCATGCATACATGCATACAGATATACATACATACACACATACATACATGCATGCATGCATGCATATGCATATGCATGCATACATACATACATGCCTACATACATGCATGCATGCATACATGCATACATGCATACATGCATACATGCATACATGCGTGTGCACATGTACACGTACGTATACATACAAGAAGATACGAGATGGAGAAACGCACGTCAGAAGAGCAGCGCAAAACACAGTGTGGTTTCAAGAGAATGTTGCCAAGACTGAGTCGTTCTGCTCCCAAGAATCGATGTGCTTGAGTCTCAAGGCCTTGGGGGCTTGCAGCGAGACCCATCTTGACACAGACCTGGATCCCTGTGCATCGCTACAGAACAGGTCTCACATGATAGCCCCGCAACTAAGGCACTAATGTGAACCATTCAGATCCTCGTCATCATCATCATCATCATCATCATCATCATCATCATCATCAGCAACATCATCAGTATCAGCACCACCACCACCACCAACCGCCAACACCACCACCATCAATATCAGCAGCATCACCATCATCAGGAGCAGCAACAGCAGCACCTTCTTCTTCATCAACATCATCAGCATCGTCATCATCCTACTATCCATCCTTCTCACCATCATCATCAGCATCGTCATCATCATCATCATTATCATCAGCATCACCATCATCATCATCATCATCATCGTCCTACTCATCATCATGAGCATCATCATCATCATCATCATCATCATCATCATCATCATTATCGGCAGCATCACCAGCATAATCAGCATCATCAGCAGCAGCAGCATCATCAGCAGCAGCATCATAATTATCATCAGCATCATCCTCAGCAGCAGCATCATCGTAATCGAAATTAGTATTATCAGCATCATCATCGTCGTCATCGTCATCAGTATCATCATTATCATCAGCATCATCATCATCGTCATCATCATCAGCATAATCATCCTAATCATCATCAGCAGCAGCCGCAGCAGCATCACCATCATCATCATATACGTATGCATCGTCGTCCCCATCCTCATCCTCCTGTAGGCTCCTTCCTCCCTTATCCCTCCTGCCTTCTTTTTCGGCCTCCCCCTCCTCCATCCTCCCTCCCCCATCCCTCCGATTCCCCCCCCCCTCCGCGACGCGACGCGCAGCCGCGCCGCCGGGCGCCTGGATGCCCCTGGCGGCGAAGTCCGGATGCAGCGTCGTGAAGCCGAGGCCCTGGCGGAGGGGCCGAGGCAAAGAGAGAGGGCCGAGGCGCAGGAGGGATGGGCGGAGGGGCCAGGGGCAGAGGCAGAGGGGGCAGGGGCAGGGGGGAGGAGGAGGAAGGAGGAGGAGGAAGGAGGAGGAAGGAGGAGGAGGACGAAAAGAAGGAGGAGGTGGAGGAGGAGGAGGAGGAGGACCATCCCTCCTCATGTGGATGCGGGAAGGGGTGGGAGTTGCATCATGGGGGAGGGATGGGGGTGGGAGCAACCGGACGCACACTGCAGGACCTCCTGGCTGGGGCCAGGGAGTCCGCAGCGTACCTCACTACGCACTCCAAAGCCAACAGTGCGTTGTCGGCATGCTGCAACTTAGCTGGGCAGCCGCTCTCACGCATCTCGTCTACGCGCTGAAACAGTCGTCCGACACCTCGTGGCATATGTCTCTTCCTGCGCTCTGAACACTCTCAGCATGCAGCCATATAGCCTTGCCTCCAGCCTTTGGCCACCCCCGTCCTCCGCGTTCTCCCCGTAGCTACCGCCTGGCACCGCAGCTACCAGGAGGAGAGGGAGGAGGAGGAGGAGAAGAAAAGGG